TTTACTCATTGCATTGAATTTTACTCAAAATATAAATATACAGTAAATTCTCTTTTAATGTGGATTATTTTTATTTGATTTTGAAATTTTGAATTTTGTGTTTCATCTAAAAATTTATTGTACAACCATACATATAGACTTATTTAGAAAGTCCAATTCTAAGTGAACCTTTTAATTATAACGTGAACTGCAGAATGTCGTAAGCTACATCAAAATTTAGTAGAAACATTATTGCAAAGTTCAACTACCCTTTACCGCAAATGCTCTGTACTGTAAAGACGGCCTCTTCTGATTATTGATTTCCACTTCGCAAACATTGTAAACCATTGTCAAATATTGCTAATGATCAAAAATTGGAAAGCTAATTGTATTACTTTCAAGTAGAACGTACCTATCGCATTAGACGAGACCTTACAGTATTTTAATTTTTTTTTTTAAATTTTGACACATTCTTTGAGATTTTATTGTTTAATTTTGAGTCATTTTAAAAATAAATTTGAGTTTTAATTTTGTAAACATTTCAATTTCTTAGATTAAACTTTTGAGTGAACTTGTTACAGTGATTTTACTCTATTAAGTTTTTGTTTAATTAAGTAAAATTTAATAAATTTCTGAATTATAGAATATTAAAGTTATTTATTTCAACAACATTTTCAGGTAAATAAAAACAATTTCTAATTTACATTATTCACAATCACAAATTTTCTCTTAAACTAAATAAAATAATTTATTTTCTTATACATTATAAAATCTTAAAATATAAAATTTAATTATTAGTTAGCTGCCAAACCAAAATAAAACATATTTTGAAATGATGATGGACCCTGACATGTTTCATCATTCATTGGAGCTGTATCCAAACATTCAAATGCTGATTTAAATTCATCAGATTGTTTAAAATAAATTAATAGATCATCATTATCTAAATCATTTGTTTGATTTTCTAAACATTTACTTTGTGCTAATGCTAAAAAATATGCTTTTAAATAATTCATATTGAATCCTTTTAATACTTCATGACTTCTAGTCAATATATTATTATGATGTCTTAAATATAGCATAAAATCACGTAATGCCATTTTACTAGCAATATACATATTTGTATATTTTGAATTTTTTGTTTGTCTCATTGGATCCATTTTATTTTTATGTGGCATACATTCCGGGGATACAACTTTATTTCGACCAGTATTATCAATTGTTGTTAATAAATTCCATAATTTATAATTAACATTTATAAAATAATATAAAACTGGTTTATTTTTAATAACAATATCAATATCAGCATCTTGTAAATTAATCCATGTTCGACGAAATTTATCAAATGTTGAATTTGTACCATTTCTTAAATAATCTGATAATATTGTATGTGCAATATCAATAATATTTTGATAAAATTCATTTGGATGCATACGAAATTGTTTATAAACTGTTTCAAATGTTTTACTATTACCTAAACTTCTATAATTATGATATAGTGTACGTCTTGGATATATTCTTTCATCATATAAACTTGTTGGACTATTAAATGTACCACGAATCTCTTCAAAATTTGTATCGAAATTATCTAAAACATCTAAATATTTATCGATATCATTTTGTATCATTTGTTCATTAATTAAATTAACAATTAATACTGGATAAAAAAATCCCATTTTCTCTTCACAATCAGAATTTTTCACTAACATTATATATTTCCATGTTATATAATTAACTAATGGTTTAATTGGTGCTTTTTTAATAAAATTCATAACTTCTTTGAATGCATTTATCTTTGATATTTCAATATATTTATCTTCAAAAACAGTAAAATTAATATGTAATTCACTATTGTAACCTTTAAAGAATTCAATCCAATCAAATTCAATAATTGTTTCACTTAAATCTTTAAATAATATTGTTAATGGTTTATCAGCATCTAATTTTTCTTTATCCTTAAATGCATTATCAATTTGATCCATAATATTTTCGATACCTTTAACAATCGGTACAATATCTTCAGCTGGAGCTCCAAAACTTTTCATTGTATTTATCATATCATCAATTGAATCCCGTCGGGAATTTCCCGGTCTTAATTTTATTTTATCTTTATGCCAATCTTTAGTATCAACATCGATAATACCATTTGGACCGAGTGCAGCAAGCATTCCCATTAATGCTGCAACTTCTTTTCTATTAAAATCTTTTTTAATTGGCCATTGTTTTATTAATTTTAGGGTATCAATTTGTGCAAATAATTTTGTTATATTCTTACTATTTCTACATGATAAATAAAAATCTCTTGCTCTTTCTTCGGCAACAGTCCGGGGTGTTTCTTCAATTAGAAAACGATTTGCTAATTCTAATAAAGTTTCTTTTGGTATTTTTTTCTTTTGTAATTTTCCACATGCATATTTTCCAAAATTATCACAAGGTTTCACAGATACATCCAATTGATCATTAATAGTTTTTAAATATGTCCGCAATAGTTTAGTATCAAATACGTGTCCAATAACGTTAAATTCCGTAAATAAATTTAATAACGCGATATTTAATAATATCCTTAAATAAAACATGTTCTTGCTTCCACCGTATCAGCTTATCCGCTATAATTTTACCGTGTATTTAAGAAAATTTTCAAATATCTAGGTAGTTTAACTCGTTTTTTACTAAATTTCATATCAAAAGTATCTTGTATTTATATGAAACTGAAAAGAAGGCGGAAGCAAATATTTATAAATTTGATTGATTTTAATTGCTTACATCACAATAATATGAAAATTCTAAGTCACTGTCATGATCATTTTTATTTTTATATTATAATTGTAAGTAAATTATAAGTAATTTTGAAATACATAAGAAATGTTATGGCATTTGTTATGAAAGTTGTTGCATAAAATAATGAAGATTGCGTAAAAAATTTTTGCAGAATTCGAGAGAACGCAATAGTAAAAGTAATTTCTATAAGAATATTTTTAATTAATTATAAAAATTTCTTCAAAAGTTACGAAAGATTTGGAAATAAACAAATGCATAAGGTGCTTTTTTCTTTTGGTTGAGGTGAAGTTAAGAAATTGTAAGGTTTTAAACCCGACGTCTTGTTGCGTTCTTGGATAATCATCGCTGATCAATATTTTGCGTAGAATTCGAATGACCTACCACATATTCTAAATTTAGGTTCGGTGATTGAATTCGTTTCCACTTAAACGTGTCTTTGTTAACTGACAAATTACAGCATATGAAGTCAGACTGATCCAAATGCGAATCGGAATGATTTTCCGGATGTAAAGTTTTCAGATCCGAAAAAAAAATTCTGGATAATAATAAAATGAGGCTGCAGTTTGTGTGATATTATCAATTGTTATTGCATCTTGTTTGAATACATGATTTGTGACTTTAATGGAATCGCGTCACGTGCCATACAGAAGCCGCTCTTTGACGACAGACGTCCACTTGTTGAAATCAAAATTTTGATGATAAATTTGAGAAATGGATTTCGGGGAAATTCCCATAAAATAAATTTAAATATCATGAGATTTTTTTTCTTATTCAATGGATTTTCAGTGGTTTCTACTGAATAACCGGAAACACTTGATGCATTGGACAGTAACACTTTTTTGTGTTATACCTGTGTTGTGTTTCTTTGTGGAATATGGCAAAAATTAGACCTGTAATGACAATTTGTTGTCAAAGAACCTAAAGCTATTGTGCTATGCTCTTACTTTGTAAAGTAATTTTAATTGTCTTGGCATTATTTAACGTTTTTTATACTATAATTAAATATTAATAACATTCCTATAAATTACAACTCTTATTAAATCTTTGCACTCCACAATATTGTGATTGTATTAAAAATGAAATTAATGATAAAAATATTTTGAAAAGATTTTTTACCTTTTTATATTCTATTAACACAAATTGAATGACTTTTAAAGCTGTTCCATGCTGTGCTCATGTATAAATTTTAATAACCCTAATTTGAAGACCGGATATTTCGTATACAAATTCTTGTTTATAAAACAATTTGGGGTGAAATAAGGAAAAAAGTTACTGGCATAGAAAGAAAAAACAATTTTTTTTCTAAGGCAATTTGTTTGTGATTTATAGTGCATCCATAATAATGTCATATTCAGATGTGGCTTTAACTTGATATATGTATGTATACATATTATGTATATAGCAGTTAATGCAAGGTAGATGTCCTGTTATTAATTGGTCATATTTTATTCTTGAACAAGAGAATAATCCTGAAATTTCGAATGTTCGATATGCCTGATACGAGAATAATGCTCAATTTAGCATGTACTTCAAAATGTGTTAATTAATCGGTTTTCAGGAAAGTTAACTTTAAGACCCAATAACTCGACTGAAAATGGAAAGAGTTTATTTCCGTTACTGTTTCGACAATATTTTCTGGAGAATTTGAACAATTCGCAAGCAAATTTCCAGAATTAAGAATTTAATCAGAAATTCTGCAATGAAAATGAGCCGCTCTTAAAGAACAATCTTAAATAAAATATAATTCTTAAAAAAATTAAAAGACGACAAAGAGGATCTCCTTTAATAATACCATACAATATCATGAGAGAACTCTATAATACCATTTAAAATGGCAACTCTAAAGTATAGTTTGTTTTTTCATGTAAAGTATGTAAAAATCCTTGAATGAAAAATTTAATTTAGATTTTTTTCCAGGTAACATCTGCTATTCATAGAAATAATAAATTTATTACAAGAATTTCTTTACATACTTTGTATATTTTAAATCTCGGTTGACGATTTCATATTTAAGACACACACTACATTCACAATATTGATGTCCTTATTAAAAGCTAAGTACACAGTCTTATATTGAGCGAGTTCTTAGATTTTTGTTGAATTTTATGACTCCAAATAGTATTCAACATAATCAAAGTCATTTCTGTCATACATTGCAATGTACAGATAAAATATAATACTTTCCATAAATATTATTCAGATTTTGTAAAGTTCATAAAAAAGGATTATAATCAATCACTTACCTTTCAACTCCTGCCATTCTCAAATATCGATATTTTCTAGATAACAATAGACCGCCACCCCATGCAGCCTGATTGAAAAAAAATAAAAATAAAAAAAATAATCAAAAATTAGAAATGGAATATAAGAGTTATTTTAAGATTTTATTTTTAAAATTATAACAATGTGCACATTAAAGGATTCTCAATATAATACATTGTGTATGTATAACAGAAAATTTTTGATTTTTGTTAATAAAAATCAGCGTTAGAAGCATTGTTTTACTTTAGAACTTCAAGTCAAATTTGCTTGAAATTTCATTATTTTTAGATTAATGAAATATTTTGGATCTAGTTTACTCAGGAAATGCGTTTAAAGTCTTTCATAACATTGTTTCGTCAAATATTCATATGTATATAAACAAAATAATAATAAAAAAAAACTACTTACATCAACATGCATCCAGCAGTTATGTCGTTGACAAATATCAGCAATTTCATTTAGATTATCGAAAGCACCTAATACTGTTGTACCAGATGTGGCACTAACAAAAAATGGAATATGTCCCATCTTTTTTCTTTCCATAATCAATCTTTCCAATTCTTTTGTAATCATTTTCCCTCTATCATCTGATGGTACCATTACACAATTATCTGTACCTAAACCACAAACACTAGCACATGATTTAACTGAATAATGCGATTGATCTGATGTAAACATTACCAATTGTGAAGGTAATGATGATGAACCTTTTTCTTTAAAATTTGGGAACATTTTATGGCGTGCTGCCAAAAATGCATATAAATTTGAAATTGATCCACCAGGTGCCAAAATTGAATCACCACCATTCCAACCAATTATTTCACGCATTTTTGTTAAAACAACATTTTCCATTAATATGAACACCGGAGCAATTTCATATGTAAACATATTTGTATTGGCAGTTGCTGTAAGCCATTCACCTGCCATTGAAATCAAATCTAAACCACATGATAGCTGATTGAAAAAATGTGGATGCCCTGAAATATTTAACATTAAATTTGTTTAATTTTTAAATAATTGAAGATATTTAAGCTAAAATTATTATCAATAAATACACTTCGTAATTTAAGGATTTAAAAGTTTCTAACAAAAAAAAAAAATGAATAAAAATTTTCAATTAATCTTCTACGTTTAGAGTAGTAAAATTGCTTAAATGAGAATGTCTCAGATAACATCTTCATACAATAATAAAATGTATGTGTATGTGATTATAATAACGGTATAAAATATTTCTCTTACTATTCTCTTCATATAAAAATAATCTATTCAGTAATTTGTAGCAAATGTCCTGGAATAATCCTCAAGGATTTTCTAATTGAAACACAGTTTTTGATGAACATAGTCATTATTTCAATATATTATTACTTATTGTAGTCAGATATAAAGTTTTAATGTTTCATTTTTACAAACATTCTTTAATATCAATAAAATAATACATACATATAAGGGACTACTGCTTGAATTAATACCCTGTCAGAATTTAAGAATAACATTTTTTGACATTAAATATCATTATTAAAATGTGCTACATATAAATATAGAATACGAAAAAATGGAAGAAACGAAATATTGATTTTTAATAGAAAATCATTAGCAACATTATTGTGCATTTTGCAATCCAATAGTTGTCGCAGTCGATGTTTAGTGTATTTTAAAATCAATACAAAACTTCAGTTATCCGAAATTACGCGGATTCTGAGTTAAATTTTTATTTTACTCAGAATTTTCCGAGCTTAGTTTTAAGACTATAATGCCATCCATGGTAGTAATTACTTTCGTTTTGTGACATAGTGGTTTTCTGAGTAACAAGAAAGCGGACGAACTAACTAGGCGGGTAAAACTTCGAGAACATGTTGCTTTTCTATATAGATAAACAAAATCCGGGATCTGCCGGCTTTTTCTTGTAAGAATATTGCCAGAGTCGTGGCTGTTGTTACCAGATCTTTGGACGGTGAAGACTATTGTAACTTGGATGCAAGCTGCAAGATAGGAATTAGGAAACATTATATTTAAATGTCCACCCCTGGCTGAGACTAAACTCAATATATCAAGATCGCCGTTTTTTAGAAAGTTATTTGATAGTATGGCAGTTGTCAGATAGTAAGTTGGTTCCATTCTTCGATCGAACCTGTTGAATCTAGCTCGAAGCTTAAGAAATGGCATCAAAACGGCACCTTACTGTGTTACGTGTGTTATTTTTCGACTACCACCAGTTGCACTGTAAAATTTAAAAAAGCGCTTTCGTTAACTATTTGCGAGCAAGAATCGTTTGGCGCTTTAAATAATGTTTAAGTAGATTAAATTCTTTTGAAGTGTTTTAATTAACCGGACAGTAGGCGACTGTTTTGTGACGATAAATGCAAATTTATTTATAATAAATTAACAAACAACCATTATTTCTATTTGGAAGGGACTTTTAGATTAACCTATAAAAAAGACTCCGATATCACTGAATGCTCATAACAAAGGCAACAAAAGAAAGTGGAAAACGGAACCAAAACAAGTAACTGTCTATTCTATCATTCTATTTTTACCGTTGTTATTTTGATTAATTCTCCTGCCGTTAAAATTAATTTTTTTGTCTTATTTTTTACATTCCATTGTTTTAATTGTTTAAGCCGGCTTATACAAAAGCATTAAAAACAAAATGGCAGAGTCAATGATTTTATTCACTTTTTTTTTGTTAATCTACCCGTATTCAAAACAAGTCCATACTGAGTTCAAGGCTTTAATTTCTATGATTTTCCCTTTTTTTGTTGTTTTTATAAACAATGGAAAAATTTCTTCAGGTGAATTAAACCGTTAATAATAACCGTTATTTGTCTTTTAAATTTTTGTCCTTACGATTGTAATTATAATTTTTCTTCAGTTTTTTTTTTATTTTTTTCTTTTGCCGAAAGAATTTTTCAGTAAAATGAAAGATTCTGTAATATTTTTTTAAATTTCTTTGAGTTATTACAAAAAATCTTCTGAATTTTGTATCCATTTTAAAGTTTGAATCAGATGCGAATGATTAGATCTTATAAACGGAAACCTTGTCGTGATCCTTAGCTGAGCTAATATGAAAAATTACACTGAATTAAATTCCAACTAATTGACGCTGAATTAAATTACTAAATCTAATTATTTCTAATTAGATAGCCCTACTTGGATGATAGCGTGAATGTAAAACAAACGATTTTCACTGCCCTTTGGTTTAAGTTGTTTGTGCACTGAGAACTACCGAAATTTAATTAACATCGTTATTCCGTTTCGTTACCAATCCATTTTTGTCTATTCGATTATGATTTGTTCAACTTAGGCAATCGGTTCTCTTAAAGAATATATTTGTATCGCTGATATGCTACATAACTGAAACATACAGACCCATTGAAACTGTCACAAACAAGAAGGGTCTATGTGTTACATATGCATAACATTGGCCAAAGAAGTGTAAAGGATTCCTTTTTGAAGACTTCCGATTTAGATATTTGTGACTATATTGACTAAAAGGCAAAAAGAAGACTTAGTTGTGGGCCATAATTTGGAGAGACATTGACACAACTTTCCCCTGTTTCATATATTTTTTATAGAAAACATTTTTTCTGCCGTCGAACCTGTACCGTCGCTATTCTTAACAGCTATGTAGATTCAAATTAATGTTATTTCAAATTTACTTTCTCAGAAAATAAAAATTCACTGTTCTATTCATGTAACTCAAGGAAATTTAGAATATTTTTAAATTTTATACAAATGTCACATTTTAATGTTACATTTCAATTTTAATGAAAAAAAAAAACAAGAAGGTAAGAGAGAGATAAGAATAATGAAAAAAAAAAAACAAAAAGTAGCAAAACGTTTTTTAATATTCTTCTTCTCTTTTTTAATATAGAAAAACTGAGGGTTGCATCATCATCCCTTCTGCATTACTTCCTTCATAATATTTAAGTACACATATGTTAGATTCTCCCCATTCAAGTTTATGCAATTTTTTATTCTCTCTTTAGGCATTTCATTGTTCATCATTGAATTTATCTACATTTTTTTTCATTTCCTTTATATTGTAATACAAAAAAAAATATTTTAGATGGTCTTTTCTTCCTCCATTGATTGTACTGTTGTTGTGTTTTCTTCTATTAAAATATAAAGTTTATATAAATAAATGAAAGAGCTTAGTCCTTAATTCCAAAAAAGACTTATGCCACCCGAAATGTTAAATGACATCTCATTGAAATGTTCATCGTTCTTCATTTGAAAAAGAGAATATTATTATAATCATACCATTACTTATTTGCAGATTTTCTTATAAGGATAACATTAAGGATTGGATATCACAATGTAAGGTATATAATAAAGAATGGGAATATAAGAGATGAAAAAATTCCAATTGAAATATAGAAAATTCATTTGATTTTATTTTTCGATTTTTTTTTTTTTGGATGAGAAGGGATAAATTAAAATTTCATTATTTGCGAATTTATTTTGTTTGAATCCAATGTAATTTTTAACAAGAGGGTTAAACATGTATTTTGATATATCCTTTTGTTGGTTTTCCTGTTCCTGTTACTGTATCTATACTCTATATATAGATTAGTTCTGTTAGATGGATATTTGATTAGCTATACATTAACTTATGTAATAGTTTTTATATAAATTATAAGAGAGTTCTTATATCGCAGCATGTGAATTAATTGCCTGTTATATTGAAATTAATTGTGAGGTTATTCTTGTGAGAAAATCCGATTGTAAATGAAAGGATTAAAATTTTTTCTATTGTTTTTCTGTTTAGTTGATTAAACAGTTGTATTGATTCTTACTATTTGAATTATTGAAAGAATCAAATCATTTATTGATTTTAAATTGGTAAATGAGTTTTGATGCTTTGATAAGAATATTTAAAACTTGTGGTCAAGGTTTTAATAAAAAATATTTTGTTCCTGCAATTTACAATAGATAGAGAACAAATCTATTTATAGAGAACAAATCAAATATAGACACAAATAGTATCTATTTTTGTTAAATATCAATTTTTAGTAGGCATGTGCGTCTGTTAGACCCAGCAATAATATTAAGCTACTTGAGCTAAGTTTATCACATTATTCAGAATGGTTTGGAATAATGGGGCTTATGTCGAATCACTAAGAGATATTGACATTCAGAATAAGCTCCAATAAATGCTATAATTATTTTCAATTTATGTGCAAAGGAGTTTTTCGACCTTAAATATCGTAAACTCAGAACTCTCAGAATATTAAAAACAAAATAAAATTGCAGTGCTCGAAGCCCCCATAATCAAATAAAGTAACAGTATAACTACTAATAATTTTCATAAAAATTAGTTAACATTCCGGGTCTTTAAAGGTGGTTGTCATATTCGAATACATTTCGTCAAGTTGTTAGGTTCTGTCTTTTCTAAATCTTCTGCCTTTTTATACCCGTACGAACGTATGTTCGAAGGGTATACTAAATTTGCCTTACCGTTTGTAACGCTAAGAAATAACGGTGTTAGATATAGACTCAAGTGTATGTTTTTGATCAGCGTCAAATTCTGAGTTGATTTAGCTTTGTCTGTCCGTCCGTCCGTCCGTCCGTCCGTCCGTCCGTCCCAACGATAACTCAAAAACTAATTGAGCTAAGTTCACCAAATTTTCACAAATGATTTATTGTAGTAAGTGCCAGAACCCTATTTAAATTGGACATGATCGGGGTACCGGTTCGGGTAGCTGCCATACAACTTCAAAATTTATTTGGCTATATCTCAGAAACCATAAAAGCTGTGGTATTGAAATTTCACACAAATGAATATATTAGTAGGGCCAATATGTCTCATAAAACTCGTTAAAATTACTTGGCTCCTTCTGGTACCTGCCATACAACTTCAAAAGTTATTTGACTATAGCTCAGAAACTATTATAGCTATGGTATTAAAATTTCACACAAACGAATATATTTGTAGGGCCAATGTGTCTCATAAAAGTCGTTGAAATTATTTGGCTCC